AGTAAATTATCGTCCTGCGAATGCGAACACTTATTTATAAACACCGCAGGATGTATTAAATCGAAACAGAGGAAAATTGAACTATTAACTGACCCTAGCAGAGATAATAAAGGGTCTCAATTTGTGAGCAGTTTTCATTCGCACAACCAGCCTATTATCGGAACTAATTCTAAAAATATAAATTTGTTTAAACATTTAACATTCAACGTTTTTAGTAGCTCCTGTTTGTTGTTCTCATAGGAAACAAAATGGACGTAAAACCATACGAAATTTACACCTCGAAATGACGGTATTGAAGAACAAACATTAACATCTAATATAAAACAAGTACCAAGCCCATTTAGCAAACATGGGGGCCCCTTACAATTGGTGGAACGCAAAATGATCGGCTACCAATGTAGCTGCCGACATTAATTCACAAGGCCTCTTTAAATTTAAACTCTCATAAACCAGTGTGTGAATGCCCACTGAGGTGCATTACCAAGCCCTTTTTACAAATAAAGAAGTGACCAATGACGAAAGTGTTAGTGGAAATATTCTAATTGGTAGTATTTTTTCATTCGAGTTAATTTACGTGAGAATGTCGGCAAAAACAATTAAAAGAAATCCTATTGAAAGGCCTTTTATTGATGAGCATAATAAAAATGTTCATCAAACTCGTCAAACAAAAGACTATACCTCCATATACAGGTATATAAAAGGTGTACTACAGATTCAGAATAGTCTTATTCTCCATTTTTTTATCCCTCGCTGTTCGAAATCAACGTGTAACATCTGCTCACCCACTAGATTTCGAAGGAAAGGCCAATTGGTAATTGTTTTGAGGGAAGTTTTTTTGAATTGTAAAAAAGTGATTTATTACCTTGAGTCGGTGATGTTGCACATATTGCATATGGTTCTCTAATAGGTTGCAGTATAGATTTTTTCAAATCACAAACAGGATATATAGATTAAGGAGGTTGAAATTTCCTTCCGATAAAAAAGTCATATAGGGGCCTGATGTTCGGAAGGTAGAAAAAAATCTCTCATAAGTTTTACCAAATGCAGTCAAAATGTTGTGATATTTTCGAGGGTATATTAATTCTGGAACGTTGATTTATCACTTACAGGGAATTTTTATTACAACAAAAAAATGCAATTGACCTTAATGTCAATTAAATGGGCAAGTCAAAATTGCAATAAAAAATATTTAGAGGTTTATTTTGATACAAAAGTTTGGCACACGATAAAATGTGTATTTGCGAACATCTGTTTTAAAACTGTCTCATAAAATACCAGAACAATATTAAAATACTTGTCTCTAACAGAAGCGTGTCGATCTGTCAGTATTTTTGTTTTGGATAATTATTACCTTAATTAAAACCAAAAAGTGTCTAGTTTTTTTTTATTTAAATTAGTAAGGTTTTAGGCTTCTATTTTTACAGCACTTATAATTTCTTCCTTTAAATAATTTAATTTTAAACGATGATTTCAAACATAATTAATGATTGATGAATATAATAATGTCTATTTCAATGAATGAAATCCAAAAATAAATACGCTGCATGAAATGAAACTGGACCACTAAAAATACTCGTAATCCCAGTTCAGTTCGCCGTTGCAGAGAAAGACGACCTTTTTGATGTACGATGCATTTTTTACCATACTGAATAAAATTTCTTCTCCAAATAAAGATTATTTAAAAATCAATTTTCGATTTGGACGCAATCCAAATCGGTTCCCAAACCCGACTTTCCAAATGAAATGTGTTAATGCAGCCGCGCCGACAAAGCGCTGCCTTAAAAAGAACTTGTTTTCCACATCTTTGCACTACATCCTATTGAGCTAATTTAATTAGGGATACGGTGCATTTGCGCACATAGCCTTCATTAGTTTACCGAACGTAGATTTTTCACCTCGCACAGGTATGTGTGCGAACTTTATTGCGCTTTGAAGGGATGTTTGGTTTCTTTCAACTAATATTTACTTATCCCACCGACCGAAGAGAATATATATGACCTAATATTGGGGGTCGTTTCCGGTACAGCTCCGAATAGAGGCGGAAATCCTGACACATCCGGAACTACTTGTCAATTCTATCGAGTTCCTTTGGATGTATCCGAGCGCAGGCGATCTTTCTATATACATTTAATATTCGATATTCCCTCCGCCTCTTTCGGTTCGGATTCGATTAAAATCATTATATGACTGCTACTTTTTTTTAGGTATCCGTTTTTGTGCGTTGCCCTTTTGAGATACTTCCTCTCCGCTCGGGTTTCATAAAGATATGTGGGCGTTTTTTTACCCTTTCAGAGAAATAAAATTTGAATCCCTGTAAAATATCGAATTTATATTTTTTTTACAAATATCATGTATCTATAACACGGAATCGAATTTACTTGAAATTGAGCTCGAAGTTCGGTTAAACGGATCCAGTCGGCTTTGATAGGATTATCAAAATCTGCCGATTGATGAGGGGGTGAAAGTGAAAGAGCTCATTGTTCCAATACCTTCGAGATTTTGTGAGGTCTACTGAGGGATCTATTTCAAAAAGAAACTGCTAATCCGATAAAGAGATTAACCTGGTAGGTAGTTTCCCTAGCGTTCGTGGGGACCTTGCAAAAAATTGCAGTTGCATCTTTTCTCAATTTTTTTTCACTTGAAACCAACTGTTACATATTTGCTCTGGCGCAAAAACTGATTACCTTACAAATACCAAAAATAGTTGTTATTTTAAAAGTATCATCGTCGAGATCGTCTACACATATGACTAACAAAATACGCATCGGCTGTTATAGTCTTGAGATGCCACTTAAAGAAGTAAAATAATACACAACCGAAGACTATTTTAAATGATCCAAAAATAAAGCGCATGTCTATTTTAACCCCCCAGTCGTCCCTATTAACAAGCATTTTTATTTCATTTTTCATTTTACCTGCAACCTGAGTCGATCAGTTTGATTTCATTTAAAACCGCCCTGATTTTACTCATCGAAAATATAATTCTTCATAACACATCTGATTCAAAACGGTTATATAATTATTTGTAAATGTATCATTTCATTTTGAACTATCGAGCTTATAGGTACTATGAGCATAAGGTAACAGATTATTACCTATTATACCTAAATTTAATTAATATAAAATTTAATTTTCAGGTTATATTAAAAATTGTTCAATTATTTTAATAGTTTTGTCGCCAATGAGAGTCACCGGTGACCGACATCTACCAGTATATAGAGATCCTACAGTCGCATATATTAATAATAAGTTGTAAAAACAAATTCGAAAAAAATCTCTGGCGCTCAACGTGTTAAATTTCTAGTAAAATTAAAAATGTCCAATTGAAATAAAATAGATTGGTGGTACGATATTTATTGAAAAGAATGAATCAATCCCCGAACGCTAATGACAAATGCAATTATATAACGTAAAACTGAATATTTCTCTCGACTATATTAGTCAGTAGCATATCATTTTACATGGGGTGAACATCTCGCTATTGTTTTAAGTTATTTATTTATTGAAAATTCTGAATTCGCGTGAGCACAGTCTGCTTGTGAGAGTGTATGTGAGTTAATCGATAAACTTTTTGACTTTTTTAACCCGTTAAAGGGTACATTACTTTCTGAAAATTACCCCAGGTGAGTCTTTTAAATTTTTAAAGGGGAGAATGAATACTTGTAACTTGTAAATTGTACTTGCATGTATTATAATGGTTTTATATTAATTTGATTAATTTTGAAAGTTAATTTTTTTGATGGTTACTTCTTTTATTATATGAATCATACGTATGATGTACTTGTTTTGGATGATTCAAGTTGGTATTTTCGAAATGTTTGGAATGAATAGGTATTTCAATATAATTTAAATAGTTTCGATAATATCGTAACAACTTTCTCACGCTTTAGAGGTGCTTTTTTTATAACTTTATTGATATAAACGATTATGATTTATTTAATTCATAAAATTGAATAACCTTTTATTCTTAGTGACCTTTTATCAATATTTGCAATATTAAATGCCTTATTGCAATTCATAAATTTGTCAATACACTAAATTTTTGATGATATACAGGTTTATATTCTCCAAATTGATAACAGCTAGTTAAATAACCGCCATTATCTTCAAATAAATTGCCGATTCGCTCAATAAACGGAGATTTAGAAAAATACTTGTTTTTATTGTATATGAAGTAACAAATGTAACATATTAGCAAGATTCATATAAAGGTCAATGCGATGGCACACCTTGCACTATAGTTATTCACGTAACGCCTATGACTTATCAATGTTTCAACCAAGCTAATTATTCTCTTGTTACACTATAGGCGATGTTGTGCTATAGGGTTGAAATATTTAGTAACGTGAGTTTCTTCGTTCTCACACTACCTCGCTATTAGGAATTCCTTACGTAACAATATATGTCATGCACTTGTAGAGTAGCAATATCGGTAGTTGCAAAGAAATAGTTCGTTTATATTAACCTTGAGGTTTTTTTTTGTTTTGGGTATGGGAGTTTAATCATTTTTAGATGCAGTGATTACTAATTTTGGAAAATACCGGGTGTGTCTAAGTGAGGAATAATCTACGATTCTTGAGCTATTTTTCTAATTTTGCGCGGGTAGTTTTGATATAGTAGTAGATGCTTTCGTGTACGCCGCATAATTTTTCGAAATGCAATTTTTCAGTAACAATTTCATGAATTAACGATTGAGTGATTTGGGGAAATTCCATGAATTGCGATTTTCCTTAATCTTCACTTCAACTAAACGGTAATTGAAAACAGGATTATATGAGGAAGGCATACAAAAACTTGTGTCACGCTATAAAGAATGTCCGCAAAATTTCTGGAAATATTTTTGTGTAATAAATATTTTTCGAATATCTTCCTGTATATAACGAAACGGAACTTATTTTCTGGACACATCTAGTATATGATAAATGAGATAATAATAATAAGACAGTGTATAGTTTGTATGTATGTAAGTAATGTAGTAATAAACGGTGGTGTATGGAGAGCGTGGGGTGGTTTGATGACGTACATAGTGTACGAATGGTCGTACTACCCCATGGCAGCCGGTGAACAGCTGCTTTCGCCTAGCGCGTCCCTCATATTAAAGCGGACACGCCGGGTGGCTGCCCATTCGAGGGTAGCAAGCGCGCGAGTGTAGTTATAGAACCTTGGCAGGCTCGTTTTTCGAAATACATACGAAGGATACGCGCTTTTTCGTATCGCCGGTGCGGCTGTAGAAAAGTTAAAAACTGGCGGAAGCACTACATAGTACCCCTTAGAGCGCCCCCTCCATCCGAGCAGACGCTACCGTAGAACTACCACACGGATGAGTCGGGCCGACGTCCACCGTCAACTTTTCTGTTTAAGCCTCAGTTAGTCTGCCTTCACCGCTCGAGGTTTATGTAACGGACAGTTTCATTGCTGGATATACGTGTGCTGTGTTGTGCTTTTAGCGTTATGGGGTGTTACAACTTAACTATTTAACGGACGCCTAATTTAATTTTAATCTGCATGTGTTGTGCTTATGTGGATCATTTAGAGTGCATTTTGGCGGCGCATGTTGTCGTTGTCGATTTGTGTTTCGTGCGATTTTTATTTGTTTATACCTATGGCGGGATGTTGCAGATTACCCCTGAGGTAACAGCGCTTCGACGTTGCTGATACCATTTAATCAGGAGACAATATAACACAACAATCACCCATCATGTCTTGGATATTTTTCACCATAATCGGACTTTTAGCCGTTCATCAGGTAAGTTTTTTTTTTTTTATTTAATTACAAATTTTAATCTACACAAACCCCCTTTTGTTATTTATTTAATTTCATCGAGACGTTGATATATTATAAAATTAAGCCAACGTCTCGTTCGCGCACTTTTCGAAACTTCCATTCAATTCGCTACAAATTCAAACCGTTTTAATAAAATGTGTAAGGTATACAATAACAATACCTATTCTCGAAATAACCGCACTATTAATAAATCGATTCAGATACATAGAAGGTGTTCTTTCCTAGGCTGAACTCTCCGGAGTTTTTGAATTACGACTGATCTCATTCGACAACGAAGCCGGCAAAAATGATTTAGGGACGTGCTGTACTGGAAAAACGAAATCAAATGCGGAATGTGACGGACTTTGCAGGCCCAGATTCAGGGTTTGCCTAAAGGAATACCAAGTTAAAATTGACACAACATCGAAATGTACTTTCGGCGATAAAATAACGCCGGAATTAGATCCGAATCCGATTTCGGATACGCTGGAAAATGGATTTTCTAACCCTATCGCTTTGCCGTTCCCGTTCACGTGGCCGGTAAGTTTATATTTATCGATTCAAATACATAACTAACTATGATGTGAACACCTTTTTTTTATATACCACCGGATGAATCAATTATTAAGTTACGATTTGTATTTATGAACTCGTCGTAAATCTTGCGTTTCGATTAATTTTTAAAAGGAGCTATTTCGTGAGAAAAATATTCGTTTGGTAGGTAGTAGATAGAACCTTATGATAAATATCTACCATCAGCGAGTCGAAGGCGATAGCTTCACCATCACCATCTGCCCGTAGCGAAGAAATTTCATGCGGGCCGGTTCGAGTAAAAAAAAAAGGAAGGTCTAATTTAAATTCCCTCTGCTACCTATACAACTACTTGAACATTATCGGTTTTCAAATTTTTTTAATATAACATAAAGCGAGCGAAAAAGCGCATTAAGGTCGAAGAACTCGGCGCCGGTGCAGTCGATGGTATCGAAGCTGTATGAAATTTCTTGCGAAGAGTGTACCTCTACATTACCAGTGATTTTTAAGCATCTCATACTGTCTCGAAGCAGGAATCCTGCCGTGGGAAATGCACTGCACAAATTCAGAATTAATTAGTTATAAAATAGATTTATCGATCGAACTCGAATTGTTCAATTCTTGCATAGAAATAATATCGATATGCTACGTTTGCTTCGCTAATGATTTTATAACTAAGTAAAAGTTTTTTTTTTAATATTTGGAATGAAAATAATTAAAGAGTTGCATTAGGTAGTTATTTTAAAGCAGAAATATTTAACTGATGTAATTGGAAAGCGTAACATAACTTTATGGTATTTTGAAGAAGATACTTCCACTTCCGCGTGTAGAAATACTTACCTATACGGTATTCGTAATTTATTGTAAAAGTAAGTAGCTATAATACAAATTATGTTATTTAATAATTTTCCAAGAGTATAATCAAATTGCGGTAAAAAAAACTTAAGCAGAATTTTCCCACAATTCTGTGTGCAATAAGTATAAACGTCAAGAAGTTTCTAACCGGTTTTATATTACTTACTGTGGTTTGCATTAAACTGCGTTGTTGCACAGACTCTGGACACTGGGATAAATCGTGAACCATTCTCTGAATATGGTTCAGCGTGATTTAATTATTAATTATAAAGCACCGGATCACTATCTTTGTACATATATATTTTTTTTTTCATTTTTTTCCTCGTCTTTATGATAGTCTTCAATTTAAGAATAGTTTCTGTTTAATCTTCCCATGGCCTTCTTCTCTTTTGTTATCGAAGATTTATTGAAGTTTAACCAACCTACAGTCTGCACGACAAAAAGGTAGCGCTACTATCATAAAATGCTTTAAAGTCTCAAAATCAAAATCATAATTTATATGTTCAGCGTCTAAAATAAACTAACTGGATACACGTACACACACTAAATCAAGATAAAAAATTTACACCCGAGTAAACCACCGGTAAAATGATTCAAAAAAATTTTAATCAATCTTCTTACCACTATAAGAGTTGATTTGATTTACGAAATTAGTCGCATAAATTTGTATTGGCAGCAACTTCGAATTACAGAAATTGAACGCATAGATTTATTTAGTAATAAAACGATTGTAAAAAGGTGATCACATCGGTATTGCATGTAATATATTAAAAGCTTCTTCAGTGAAAGTTGTTTTCTCTTGAAATAAAAGAATTCAGTTTCTTATTCATTTTTACAGGGCACCTTCTCGTTAATTGTGGAAGCATGGCATGGCAATGAAACATCACATTCTGCAGGTGAGTGCAAATATATTTTTTTTGATCCATCGATAATGCGAAAACAGAATAATGTACGTTTAGTATAAACAAAGAGCGTTTTTTAAACAAAATTGAGACTCTACGAAGCGAATTATAAAATAGTTAATTGATTTTTATTTAATGGACAGGCAAATGTGTACGAATGCCCTACTAAGCTTATTAATCAATAGTTGAAGGTATTCATTCGATAGTTAACTGTTTCTCTAGTTAAAATTTTATTACATTGCTTGATAAATCAATATTTGTTAATAATTAATTGAGCGAGTATGGCGTTGGTGTTGGTTGGCATTTATTTCAATTTACTCCTATTTTTAATATAAACTTGGTGTATACGTTACGTATATGAAAACAGACCATATATGCTCTAAAACTAAATAAATATCTTACGATATAGCACGAATAAAATGCCACATGCATAACAGCTGTCAACTCTTAACTTACCAACAAAACCAGCCCTCTTCCTGATAACCTAAAAGGCTCTTCCGCTTCAACTGATATTTCCACTACGTTTTCCTTTATAACTAATCTTTGTAGCGCTGTCTTTTGCAGACCAATTTATTTCTTTATAAAAAAAAGAGTTGGTAATTGAAGCCGGTTGAGCCGATTTCATTGTCTTTTTCTTAGTCTAGCAGCGCAAAAAATAATTACTTTAAATTTGCGGACCCAACGAACCGTACTTAATACTAATTGCTGAAAGACTTGGAAGGAAAACTTTTGAATATTCGAGTGGATGTTCATTTCACGGAAAGAAAAACCGTTAAAATTTAGAACGCCCGTCTCGGAAGTTCTCCAGAAATTAAAGTGCGCGATAGACAATTTTAGCAAGTAGAAAATCCAACCAGCTGTGCATTTTTGTTAAAGAATTAAAAAAACAATTAAACGTCACAAAGTTAGGGTAAGATAATCACATTGTAATCGGTCAGGATTCTTTTATCATTTTGTCAACTGGGTAACTTGAATAGAGAGAGGGAACTCCGAACGGTTAGACTGTTACAACACCTGGACAAAGTAGGTACAGGCGGGACATTAAATTTGACTACGTCATTGTTAGTTGGGGTATATACCAAGTAAAATGTTCCTTTTAAACCCATATGGCATAGTTCGAGATTAGATTAAGTTTCATGCGAATTTTACTATTTATCCTAGCATTTAAATAAAATATATGCATAGAAGCTCATTTATCTATTAGAATATTTGAGTGACAAAATAGATATGGGTATTTAATAACGCCGTTTGAATAAACGATCGTTGCATACCGGTTAGGCCTTTAAAAAAATAACCGCCATATTGTCAGTTATTTATTGAATATATACGGCTATTTTTCTTAGGTATGCAGTTAATATACTACCTTTTCATGTACAGAAACGATAGGAATTTCGGTACGAGGAATCAGGTATTTAAATGCATTTACGTAACATAAGAAACGTAATTAAATCCAGTAAGCATGCCAATATTTCATATCGATTTAAAACATGCATTATGCTTATTGCGATATTTATTCGTCCTACAAGAAATATTTTAATTCGCGGTCTTCGAGCTATAAGGAAATATAAAATTTTATCACATGCTTAAAATAAGAATCTCATCGAGAAGAATTTTGATGTTAACATTTTTGCCTGTGAAATCGATAGAAAGTGAAGGAAAGCGTTGGTTTGAAATAAAAATCTAACCTGGGTTATTATAATATTGAACTAAAATAATCCCGATGAGAAATTAGCATTGATATGATAAAAAGAAAACATTTACAATGAAACTTACGGAAATGTTCTGGATCGGAGGAAAAAATTAAAATAAATTGTAATGAATAAGCTGATAAAAACGAACGCAGGTATTGAAAACGGATAAGTACACGTATAATATTTTCCGGACTACAGAGAAAATAATGCTACTTCCTTTGTCTTACTTAATATATAACGTGCGAACTCTTTTAATTGTATATATTTATAGTTTTTAATATGATTTTTAATGAGCAGCGAATAATACATATTCAGTGTCGTTTTAGTTTTCACAGAATCGTTTTCTTATATTTAGGACCTTCCCGTATGACATCAAAGGCTTTACACATAAAAAACGAACGGTGTCTAGACGAATTTCTTCGTCTCTAATTCTTAAAATACATAATCGACATCTTTGTATCTATATCAATTAGTATAACCAGTTTAAAATGCTAAATTATATTCAAATTAAATGATCCAAATATGTAGAAAAAATTAATTATATATGCAGATTTAATATTTTTAACCAAAGTACTGTTATGGTTATTTATAACCATCCGTAGTAATTTCCTGAACTGTTTTTGGTAATATGAAATATTTCAGCTCGGCTAAAGACGAATCTAAAGCAGTTAGGTGTATGCTTTATTTTACCAACGGGGGTATAAACTTTACGAACAACTTGTTACACAATACGACCTTTTGCAATTTAGAACACTTAAGCGGATATCCTGTGTTTTTAAGCTCCCCAACTTATGGAATATTATCTCCTACTTCCTTTCTCAACCCCCTTAATAAGATAAAGATTTTTTATAACACCTGAGTGAAAAAAGAAGACCACGTCTTTTAAATCGAACGTAAAATTTTAACTATTGTTTTGCACGATTATAGAATTAGTTAGTTTGCAGCGTCATCATCTTCGATACAAAGATTTTATTGTTTCTAAGTATACAAATAAAAATTTGATTCGAAACGGTTGATGTGTATTTAATGATGTTAAGTTCAGTGATTTTTCGCCGTATGAAAATTTTTGTACATATTAAAATCACTCGTGTAAAATCAAAAGGTGAATGAAAAAAAGGTGTTCTTATATAGTGGTAATACAGCTTCACCGGATACAGCTGCTTTGTTGCCGGATGCTTAAAGAATACACCTGCATTATGTTTCTCAGACGTCTATCTCGACCCGTTCAAATTTACTTTCCAATTTTGTCTGCTCCAGCCTACCTGTACCTTTTCCTATACGTGGCGTAGATGTTTAATAAAAAAAAACTATGGGAAATTAAACTTCATCTCGGTTTAGTTTCTTATTATAAGCTATTAAGAAAATTAAAAATTTACGAACCCGAATCCGGCCAGTGCAATTTCTTACGCGGTCAGTTGTTAGGCGCTCTTTTTTTTACTCGTTCTTTTAATTTAGCCTTCTAGAAACCGCTTTGATTTTATTTTTAGAAACGTCAGTAATAATGGCTCGAGAGCTGTTTATACTAAATTTTTACATTTCTCCGTTACGTTCTTTTTGATGCACGGAAATTTGTTTAGTGAATTAAAAGTCGATCGTCCTTTTGTTGCAGTACTAGTGAGCAGACTAACGAGACAACGATATTTAGACGTCAGCGACCAATGGACGGAGGACGTCCACCGGTCGGCGTACTCCACCCTCAAATTCAAGTACAGGGTGACTTGCGATTCCCATTACTACGGGAAAGGTTGCGAGAATCTGTGCAGGCCTCGAGATGACAGCTTCGGCCACTACAGTTGCTCTCCATCGGGAGAACGAGTGTGCCTGGCAGGATGGACGGGAGATTACTGCACGAAACGTAAGAGAAAAAAATCATTATTTACCAATTAAAGAATTTGTTCAATTTCGTATCGACGGATCGACTTGAAAAAAAAAACCAATTTTCATAATTCAAAGTAAATAGGCATCGTAACACACTTGAATGAGCACGTTATTTTACAGGGCGATTTACTTAAGTACTATTCGTAGTTGTTTTATTTAAAACAAATATTTTTTTATGTAACGTTATATTCGGTTGGTTTTTTTTTGTAATAAAAAAAAATTTGCTTATTACGTTCGAATGCAACAAGGAAATATAATTAAGCGTTGTCGATGTCGGTCCGAATCGGCGTAACATTATTTACCCTGTAAAGTATAAGTAGTTGGGCAAAAAACGCCGAATTTTGTCCACAAAAGAAGCAAAAGCAATGACCGCGAGAAAACAAGACGTGAGCGCCGCTCAGCTGCTGTCGAGACCTTCCCACGATCACGGCATACCTGTCTGTATACAGGGTCCATTTCGTTATTATCTACTCAATAAGAAATAATTATCAGAACTTATTATCTTGCCAAGAATACTCGGATGCATTTTAATTGTTGCGGTTTTTGTTATAGCGCAATGCTTGCCTGGATGCGACGAACAACATGGACATTGTGCGAAGCCGAATGAATGCAAGTAAGTTATTAGGTCATTTTTTTTAATTACGGTTAATTCGTTTGTACGAACGGTAAAATTGTTTATTGTACATTATATAGATAAAATTACTGTTGAAACGTCGTAATTCATTTTAATTAAATTCGTAACGAAATGTACGCAACGAATCATCGAAAGATGTATAATTTAAAATGAAGGATGGTTTTCTGATCCACTATTAAAATTTCCGTGGCGCGGTTATGTACGAACCTCTCGTCGAAAGAACAGGCCCGGCTAGTACCTACGTGATTGCTCAATCCCCTCCCATTCAATCTTTATTCATTAAATCGCAGGCCCTATAATTTTCCAGAAGTTTATTCGAATTAGTTGGTAATTAGAGGCAGCTCAAGGTTCTCGCTGTTAGATTTAAGTAGTTTCGGTTTCGGTTACTAGCGGAAGGAGCCGTATGCAGTCCGCCTAAGACTATGCAGATTGGGCCGCCGACCCGCATATAACCTTTCCTTGACCTGCATACTTGCCAACGGGCAGCGTGGGAAAGAGCTCTGTGGGCGTGTTGCATCCCCCCTAGATGTCCCCGCGCGGCCCGGTCTGCGATCCAAGCTGCAACTCAATGAGCTCTCTTCGATACGATCCGAATACACTCTTTCAAACACATGCTTAGAATAAGAAATGCACGTCACATTCAACATACCAACCGATTTTGCCGTGCCGCCGACGGTACTGCCTGATGCTATTCGGTATTGTACAATCTTCTCATCTAACTAGTCCGTCTCTCCGGTAACATAGTTATGTTATTTTTATTTTTCTATCGCGATTATCCATTATCATCTCCGAATGTCTTTTGGTTTTCGAATCGAGGAAATTCCGATTGTTGTCGCGATGCGACGAACTGGTTAAAATGTGATTTTTTTTTTCTTCCAGGTGTCAATCTGGATGGGAGGGCCCGTTGTGTAATCAATGTCAACGGTATCCGGGATGCATGCACGGCACTTGCGTCAAACCGTGGGATTGCCTTTGCAACGAAGGATGGGGAGGACTGTTTTGCAATCAAGATTTGAATTTTTGTACTAACCACAGACCGTGCCGCAATGGTGGGACATGTTTTAACACAGGACAAGGGAGTTATACCTGTAGCTGCCCCGCAGGATTCAACGGTACCGATTGCGAAATTCCTGCCGACGATTGCTTGAGGAGCCCTTGCTTGAACGGAGGCACTTGCAGTCCCAAAGGCGGTTACAACATTTGCTCGTGTCCGATCGGCTACAGTGGTTTGCAATGCGAAACCGTCGTTAACTACTGCAGCAAACGTCCGTGTAAAAACGACGGTGTTTGCACCAACACCGAAAACGGATTCCATTGCTCCTGCAAATCCGGATTCAATGGAGTTTACTGTGAACACCAAATAAACAGATGCTTGCCGAATCCTTGCAAAAACGACGGCATATGCGTTGAATCGGCTGAAGGATTTCAATGTGCTTGTCCGAGTGGATTTACCGGTGAGTTATGTGATATCAACATTGACGACTGTAAAGGGAGCCCATGTCAAAATGGTGGAACCTGTATTGATAAAGTAAACGAGTTCCGTTGCCACTGTGTAGCAGGTTATGTAGGACCACTGTGCCAAAATCGCGTAGATTATTGCATTACAAAACCTTGTGCCAATGGCGGAACATGTCTGCAACTAATAAATGACTATAAATGTAAATGTGCTCCTGGATTCGCAGGAAAGGATTGCAGTGAAGAGGTAGACGAGTGCGTGATAAATCCTTGCCATAACGGGGGCACATGCGTGAATCTCGTTCACGGTTACGAATGCTTGTGTCCAAGCGGGTTTCTCGGCCACGATTGCGACGAAGTGTCATCGAGTGCTGCTCCAAGTGCCAGAGTATCATCCGAATCGAATCTAACGACTGAACACGTCGTTGTCATCGCCACTATATCGACGTTCGTGCCCGTCGTCGTTCTAGTGGCCGTGGGCGTCATATTTTGCCTAAAACAACGGCGGAAACGCGAAAAGGCTCGCGCCGATGAAGAAGCACGCCTGCAAAACGAACAGAACACGGCTAATAGCAGTTTCGCGAAACGCGGCGCCGCGATGTCGACCGATCCTCACATGATCAAAAATTCGTGGGGCAAGTGCACAAACAATGTTATCAGTTCGAACTTTTCCTCGCCGGACGACTGTAGTGTTTCTAACATCAGCATCAACGACTGTGATGGTTTTCCGAAGCCGCAACACCAGGTCATCGACGGACGGCCTGTCTATACCTTGCAGAGGACGCGTTCTCAGAAGCAACTGAACACTGAGACAGGTGCTCGAGCATCAGCCTTGTTAGCTGCCAAATTGCACGAGCCTGATTACGAACACCTCAAACGTTTGTCTGTGATGTCAAACGCATCGGCTGTGTGCGGCTCTAGGTAAGCATCTTCATTCAAACGTTATTCAAAATTTAATAATCATTTCAAAGTTTTTTTTTTGTAATCTTTAATCTTTATAATCCCACGGTTTTTTCATTGAATGTTCTCCCGATTGTTACAGTGATCCCTCCTTAATGAAAAGGCCATTAGAAAAGGAGTCGAATGGCGTTTATGTGATAGAAGAGCACTTTCATACTCCAGATGCGATCTCATCTGGTCTTTTCGCCACGGAGGTGTAGATAATTTAAAACGAATGACTGAAGTATGTATGTGATGCCGGTGCTCCCGTCAGTAATGGTCTACTGTACAGTTATTTATTATTTTTTTTCCTATCTCCTGACGGAGGCATTGACAATTTAACTTATGTTTGTATGATTATTCAAATTCGAGCTAGTGCCTCGTGTCCAAGAAGTTTTGCTATTCTCTCGACTCCTTTTTGGGTAACACCAATAATTGATCAAGCTGTCATCATCATTTGTAAAGGCATTTTTTTTGTTTATATTGTATATATCTCGATGATTTTTGTTCTGTTTATTTTCGTATTTATGTAATTTACCAATGGTGAATGCACTTGGATAAGAAACCAAAGATCTTGGTATTGCGCAAAAACCCGACTTTCGAGCATAGCAAGGCTGCATTTTGTCAAGTAGTATGTAACTAACGTAATAATTTTATTGTTATAGAATTTTTGTGATGAATCTGAAGCAAACTAAGTCACCAATGTACTTAATTAGGCTTTCCTCAATATTTGTAAGCCTTCTATTTTTATGTTGCAATTGGTGTTAATATGCAATCATTTACAATGATAGGCCAGTGATATTTATTTTAAATTAAAACCGATAGCAACATTCCATTTAATAAAAAACCGATTTCTGTATGAATAAAGAATCAATGTTCCTGATTTTCAAACTAAGTCATTTACATTCAATATTATTGATAGACCAAGGCCCAGCAAAAAACTTCTTTGTCTTTCCATAACATTGACTGACAACTGTTGTACACTACTTAAATTCTTGGGCAAGTTAAAGACTTAATATTGATAAATACGTTTTGTAATATATATAATTGTATATTTATAGTATGTAACTAGTAAAAATTGTTCATGTTTCTTAATAAATTACTTCTTTAGAGAAGCGGCTGTATTGTTCCTCACGTGAATAATGTTATTTAAAGAGTTATCTTAATAAAATTTTTGTTCTATACTTTCATTTTATTTTTCTTCTATCACCAACGTCGAAAAAATATTTTCTCCACCCCGTATTTTTACGACACCGAGGAGCTGCAAGACGTCGTTATGCAAGCGTTTCTTCAGGCTAAAATTCAGGTAAGCGATTCGACTTTTTCGTAGGTACCTAAACTGACATATGCTGTTGTTATCCCTTATTCCAAACTCCAGGTGTACCTCGTGGACTATTCAGCGTTTTAACTTTCACAAAGAAATAGTGTGACAATGAATATAGGTACCCTGATTGCTTTCTTGGAATTGGCTTAACGTTTGAGCACGACCGTCTTTAATTGTTTAAAAAAAAGTTCCACAAATTCTCCCGTTTTTATCTTAAATAGTGTGCAATCGAACAGTACATAGATTAAATTGCAGTACAATCAAACTGTGCAATACACTGAATAACAATCTGTTTTCTTATCCTATTTACTACCGGTACCAAAGTTTGTTATCTTGTATACAAGCTATCATTGCCTAGCTGTAAACGGAACATGTTCCGGTTTTAAATTACAAAAACAGAATCTCTGTTTTATAACGAATTCAGCAAAAAAAATTGTAACAATTAAAGAAGTAAGTCGACGGGAAATCAAAATGAATAATACTATCTTGCCCTCAATTGGCAAAGGAAATAAAAAGTAAACCGTAATAGCATTAAAAATAATGGATTTCGAGATTTCTTCGTTTAAATGCGATTGCCGTTAATTATTTGGATCTACCGAGCTTATCCCCCATTTGCAAATAAAGCTCTTCCGCCTATGCTTATGATTGTCAGGTGAATGTTGAGGTCATGAACTGGCAACCTACGACCTGCAGTTTTAACCTATAAAATCTTCGCAATCACAGGATTATTTTCCGTTTAATATCAGCGAATTGGGGTTACTGAAAGCTTAATCGCCGATAACTAGCTGCACTGTCGCCGATCGTCGATCGAAAAAAGCTAAAATTAACCTTCTTTCAAACGCGAATCCAAAAAAACCATGCAGTTTCTGAAGTAACAGTTCGTGCACTAGTACATAAAGTAATTTTATTTCGTACATTTTAACGTATTCACTGAATTACTTCTCATTTAAACTTCTTGGGTGAATTATATACCAATTAATTCTCTTCGTTTTAATGTGAAAAATGAAATATTTACGTACCTACGAGTACGACATGGTGGAATAGAAACGATTTATGCGTACCGAAGTACCGTTGCGTCGTTAAATTTAGGGTCAGTGAAGAGTAGCAATTTAATTGTAAACTTCCCAATTATTTTATTAAAAAGTTCAAATTAACATTTAAAAAAGGGTCAATTACAGAAGGTTCCGTTTCAAAATTTAATTGTGTATGAAGATTATTATGAGTTTCAGGAAACTCATTACTGCATTGGAAGACGTTCATGTAAATTTATACTTTCCTGTTGTTTATTGGCGGATTACTCCTAATTATGAAAAAAAAATATTCCACATTCGGAAATGTTTAAATGTGACACGAAAATGCTGTTGCATTTTAAATAATATTATCACCCTGTAGTTTTGGAATATAAAGTCATAACATTAGCCGCGAAACAACCAGACTAGGTTTAAAAAAATCAAACATTCGAATTAAATAAAATAAAATTAGGTAGACAGTTAATATCCCACGGTAAAGAAAGCTTTCAGTTTGGGTTTTTATACGAGCAGAGAGATGGTATGGAAAGAATTGTAACTATGTAAGATTCGCCATCCAGTTTTTATATACAGAACTTGCGGTCTACGGAATGAAAGAATAGCCGTTTTATTTTTAAAATCAACCAAACAATACGAGGTGTTGTTTTATTAGATTTTTCACATTTCCAGTACGTGCATACAAAGGATTGCATTGCGAACAAAAAATTGCCGCTATGATTATACGTATACTGCGCTTATTATTTTTTGTTAGGATTTATTAATTTAAAATCGCAACAGTAACACCACTGATGACTGAGAAAATCCAGAAATTTCATAATTCGCTATTCCGGTACAACATAATTTTCTCACATATTTTTTACAGACAGGTGCGATGTGAAGATACGTTAATAATTTCGAAGATGAAGGAGCTTACTAGAGCAGAAAAGAGCCCAATTACTTTTCAGATAATTAATGTTTATTATTTAATTACTTTTAATTCGCAATGGATGTGCCGGATCGAAAGACTATTGAAATGTACGAAAGTGATCAACACAAACCAGATATCCTCTTCATAATGCAAGAATTAATGATGATTTACTGTTGTATTATTTTTAAATTAGTTTAAGATGCTGCGGTATATTTTTAGGCTCTGCTCGACCTCATATTCGGGTTTAAAATCATCCAAAGAAAAGTGTTGCACATTGTCATTCTTCGTGTATCGAACAAAGAGAGCAACAGTTTATATTATAGTCTAATTAAATAAATCCAATTGTTTGGCTTTATATGTATAAACTTCTACGGCAGGTGTTAAACCGATAATTTAATTATACGCAATCAGTCAACAGACCTGCATAGATTTCAAACATGGGTTGAATTCGAGAACAAGAATTCCGGAATGTCTGATAAAAATTAATTATACGATAGTTTAATTCGATTTTTCTTTGATTTAAAATTCAACTTCAACGGGTACCCTCTTCACGCGCCAGATTTCTTTTATTAAAAAAAATTAATGCCCCTAATTAACGATGATTGCGATGAGTTTTTCATTATTTTCGCACCCTCATATCTTCGTCGTAAAAATAAAAAATACTAGCAAAAAAGTGCAATTTTAAGTTTTCAGAATTACCGACGGCATTGTTCGTAAGTAAGACGAGCAAAATTTCAAAGCCACTAGGTGACTAGTGCCGTACAAAATAAAATTTCACGAACTCGTGATGAAACAATGAATGCTGATATCCTCAGGCATTTGAAATATTTAATGAAATGCTTATCACTCATTCGAGTAACCTATAAGAAATTCTTCGAATTGTTTCTTTTCGTCATAAAACTCCGTTCGGTTCCCATGCATCGGTTGTAATAAATGCGTCTAGCATCAAAGATGGGATAGACCCCGCACAATATCAGATTCGACCAAACATTATTTTATGGTTTTTTAACCACTACGTCGGTTCATCACTCGACTTTTCGATGCCAATCTAGACTTTATCGATGAAGCGTTTAAAAACATCCCGAAAAATGTCGCTAATTTACGTCTACCTACCTCGCATTATTGACTCATTTCGGCTGTATTATTTTAAATCCGTGCATATATGGCTGCAATAAAGCGAGATTTTCGTCCTGTTAATTATTTAGTGGATGCCCCCTTCCAGTTCAGGAGGAGGAGTAACACCTCAATGTTAATTTTTTTCTTTGTGATCGTCGACCCATCTCCTCGGTCTTTTGTCAAGAAACTAGTCGTGGACATCGTAAAACCGGCATTTATTTACTTTTTAGTTTGAACTAGCGATGACGGGTGAAAAATAATTAGTTTGACAAATAAGAAATGAGATTTCAAGCGTTACTTAGCGTTAAGAGTGCTTCTAGAAACAACAAAAATCCATGTGTGTTTTAGGCATCGAAACTCGTTCGGATGCATTTTATTTTTTATTAACAATGGTCGTCGACTATTAAAATAATACAGGGATGTACCATGGAAAAAAAAAACTTGAACGAAAACACCACCACTCCACTAAAAGCTACTATAAGCTGTTAGATTCAAAACATTCGTCTACTTAATTCTACCCTCAGCAGTGTCATAAGTACTAAAAACATTTTTTGCCAGTGCCACATTATTTGTCGGCATGTCCTAAACAGAGGAACTAGAGATAAATGGATTATGAAAACTTAAAAGGTCCTTAAGATAAATTAAAGTCATTAATAGCATTAATGCGACATCACTTAGAGAATACACAGATATTGTAACGCGGTTACTAAAAAATGTACTAAAATTTATATAACGTTTGCGATGCTATTGCAGAAAGAATTAGTACACCTTGTTTTTCAGGTGCAGCTTAGACACGAAAAAAACCTTTTGCATTTATATCGAAATGTGGGAGTAACGCTTAAAGGAAGTTAATAAATAACGTTGTTATGTGATAATCAACTTTCATTTCTATAATATTGTTTAAAATATACCTTAATGTGATTTGCGGCAGTAAAGATGACTCTTTAGAGAGTTCATCCTTAACTAAATTACCATTTTTTAAAATATTCCTGGCGTTTGACGGAGGAACTTTCATTTATCTCAAAAAATTTGTAAAATACTGTAAAATAACAAAAATTTTATTGCTAAAATTAAGTTACTTTAGATTAAATCGATTCTTGACGGAAATTTAATATAGAAATCCGTTTTGATTGATGTGGTACCAAAAATTTATTACGATCATGACAAAAAAGATTTATTATAGATCGAAGTCCTATTTAAACCATGCAAAATTGCTTTTTATAAGATACTTCAAAAATGCCGAGATAATTACAAAATCGTAAAATATAAGCGATATTTTTAGACTATAACCCTTTCTTTTGTATATGAAAATGAAAATAATTTGGCATATATAAAGGAAGCCTTTTGTTATCTACTTAGAAAAAATTATTGTGCTATAATACCCACAAAATTTTCGTGGAAATAAAGTAATCGATGGGCAATTCTTCTGAAAAATATAAATCGAAAGTACGAGAGAAAACAGACAAGATAGCAATATAATTCACAGATGGGATAATAAAACAGATGTTAGGTAGCTGTTGGGGAGAGTCTGTCGATAAAGATGGTCCATATAACTTTACCTGATGATAATGATCATTTTATTGTTAAAAGAAGTCTGTCGAAGCCCTGTAATGACACCTTACAAAACGCACCAATATTTTTTTTAATAAACTTTCCCTCATTTTTTCGCGATCGCTATAAAAATCCTGATCTACCTGAACTGTCAACGATCAATTCCAGCAAACATAAATGGATACGTAGCGGCAGCGACCAATA